GCCGTATTTCCGTCTACGATAGCTGCTCATCGAGAGAGAGATAACAGTTTGGGTTAAAAGCCTTTACAGTCGAGGCACACTTTTGCCGAAGGAAGAATAGGGGAGCCAAGAGACGATAAAGCGTCGCGACGACAAACTCCCATGGACTCCGTCGACTCTCTCGCAGAGTTAATAGCTGGACTTTTCAGATCTGGTATGCGCAGTTGAGTAGCCTAAGGATCCGCAGGAGCCGAATGCCTCTGTGACTGGCAGGAAGTTATGAGGCCATCTTCGCCCTCGCTTAGTTTCCTACCCTCGGGAAACTATATCTCGTTTTATGATAATTATCCCAATTAGGAAGCTGCGACAATTGCCTGGACAGTCTAAATTAGCAAGGGTGGCTCTTTCTGCCGCATTTAAAAACTCAACGGGTCGTTCAGCAGGCAGAAGTTACAGCCTCGCTCGGAATCCTCGGCGCTTCGTCGACTGAAAGAACCTATCTCGACAGAAGCCTCAAGGGAAGCTGCACGAAGAAAAATAATTGAGGAAGGACTGCTTATCCGTCCAGAGACAAGGGGTTGGATATCGGGGCAGCTTGTTATAAACTCGGCGAGCAAAGTCTAACAATTAGAATCGATCTGTCATTGCAGCTTCTGCCTCGAAGTCGATGTCTGGGGCTTTCATCCTTTGCCGCTCCTCGCGCCTCACGTTCCCCCTTGACGCTTCCAGGCCGCGGCTCACCCTCCAGGGCTTGTCAACAATCTTTGATAAGGCACGGCTAGTGCAAACGCTGATTGGTCGCCTGAGGCTCGCCGTCGCCGTTCAAACAATGCGCGCTGCGCTAACAATGCAATCGCGAGCAAGATAAAGACGTGCAGGGTCACTCGGCTCAAACGCACCAGGCAGATGTCACAGTGGTTGTGACACCATTGCGATTAAACCCCGTGTGCCAATATTTCGCGACCGGAAGCAAGCGCACATCTTTTTTTGGCTTCCACGGACACGTAACGACAGACCAACCCACTTGATCTGGTGTCAGTCAGTGTGAATAAACGCTACAGTTTTGCCTGATGCCATATCAATAATAACTGACGTGTGAATGAAACCTATATCACCTCATGGAGTAGGAGATATCGATTCTGTTCAGAGGGTGATGAATGTTCGCCCTTTGTATTAATAGCTTCACTGCATATACTAAATCATTGCGAGAGAGAAGCGAAGGGTTTTAAAAAAATTTCTAAAAACCTCGCCGTACCAAGAGGGTTCATGTATTGAAAAAAATAAAGAAAAAAATAAAAAACAGAATACCAATCCCAGTCATCGAAGGCTCGCGAATTTTTTGCTCAACGTGCATATTTACCGAACAGCGAGGATATGCTACCCTTTGTTCATTAGTCTTTAGTCGATTCAGATGGAAGGTATATTCTGCACGGCGATAAGCTTTATCGTGCTATACATTTTGAATGCTACATGTTGACGAAGAGCACGACTATTGTTGTCACTATTTCATTTACCGTATAGTTGAAAAAGTTTCGGTACGAGCCGGACGTCATCGTAATCCATATTCGAGAGGATCAATCAATGTCCGAGCATCATGCAGTGTTTTCAAAAAAGCATTTTCGCGTTCGTGTAAACCCGTCAAGCAATACGACAAAAAAGAGGAGTCGCGTCAAAAATAAAATACGCATCCAACAGTCTTCCGTTATCCCATGTAGAAATCGTCACTGCTGCCTCGGAATAGTCACTGAGCGATGAACAAATTTTCTATATGCAATCACGGTAAAATCCGAGCGCCCCAGTTGATCAAGCTCTTTCGCTTTGTCGCGCGGAGAATTTACATTTCTCAAGCATCCGGGAAAACTCAGCGCGACGAAGAGACGCCGAAAGACCCCATGGAATGGATCAACAGAAGAGAAAGGAGCGCATGAAAGTGCGCATTGTTGGTGTTTTTCCTTTTTTAATTTTTCACAAGAGAAGAAAAAAAGTGAATTGGATGGACAGCAGAGTCGGTTCTTCGATCGCGGTGGTACCCGAATTTGGGCCCTAGGAGGCGTAATATTTGAATTTCAAATCCAGCCTATCAGGACCCCTTTTGCTCTGGCAAGAGGCGTCAAGAGGGAAGCAGCAAGAGGGATGATGACGGTTTGGGGCTCGAGGACGACATCCCGCGCGGTATAATTACGGTTTGACATGTTGATACCCACCGATAACGTCTGCGTGTGACATCCTTCAGACGACATGTTAACAAAATGTTGGTTTCGCCCACAGGTTTTCCATCCCTCTCGTCTGCCTTCGTCCGCGCATTGGGTGTCACAGTACGATCCAGCCTGGAGTATCGAAAATTTTAGTCGCGATTGTCGCGCACAGTCAAGCCCCATTCGTCCGATCGATCAGAACGGAACGAATACAGAGAGTCGAACGAAGGAAAAACAAAAGCGAAGAACTGACCCAAGAGAATCAGTCGTGGGAAGCGACGAAAGATTTCCGGCCCGGAAGGATCCTCCTCCAGCCATTGAAAAGCATAACGATAGCAGGACGCAATATGAATATCAAAATCCTCTTGCTCTCGGATGAACTGTCTGTCTTTTATTTTTCCTTTATTAATTTTTTTCCCGATAGCCAATGCCCGATAAGCCCAAGCGAGGCTTCTTTTTGTTCTTCTTTCGGAACAAAGTTTTGCCCCGGCCTAGCGTAAACGAAGGTTGGGTCGATACGCGCGTGAGAGAATAAACTCTCTCACTGGAGTCTGAAGTTAACGCGAGGGTAAGACAAAAGAATGAACTAGGTGTTCAGAGACACGCGCGCAATTTTGCAGACGAACGAGGAACTTTGTCAAACGAGATGTCCTATGACCCCATCAAGAAGAAGGGTGCTGCGACGCGACATTGTTTCCAGTGAGCCCAGAAATTAGGTACGGTCTTAGGAGAACGAGACACGGCGGGCGTTATACGCCATCCGATAGGCAATGCCTTTGGAAGAAACGAAAAGGATGTTAAGAAGTGAGAAAAAATGGGCGTTGCCTGTTCAAGGCGAAGCAGGATCGATGAATGCATCGTGTGACTAGGGAATAATATCAAGATATAATCAAAGTGATGAAGATTGATCCATCGATTCAACGCGCAGAATCATCAAACGCATATAACGGATAGTGGATCCTTGGTTCGACGCCTCATTTAATCTGGCGACATTCTCGTCCATTGTCTACCAAACAATTGGCAGGGCACAAATTATTACATCATCTCATAAAGCTGGAACGAAGAAACGAGGAGCATGACCTACATGGCGCAGATGGAAAGATGAAGAAAATGAGCAAGAGCGCTACTATAGTTTCTTCCTCGTCTCGAAGCGTCTGTTTCCAGAGTATTTTTCGAAATAGCGTCATTTATCAATTTCCTCATCTTTTTGTTGGTAGGACTTAACCGAGTCAAGCGAAGCGACAGGGCATAGTCTCGAAACATGGACATATCGCATTCTATCCTCTCTCTCCCTATCCCTCCCTCACGCCTTACATCTATTTGCTTTCCTATACAACGTTCCAACAATATTTCTGTAATTTTTTCAACCGCATTACAGACTTCACTCCCATTAACTTTCTCTCTCAGCGCACAGACTGGCACGCTACCTAACACCGTGCTTCTTCACCAACAATCAGAATGAACTAACAAATTTCAGAGATAATCGGATTATTGTAATACAAATATTTGCGTTTCTTACTATCTTAGCATATGAGATTTTTCGGAATCCAACTAGAAAATCTTTTCAAAAAAAAAAAAAAATTGCCACTAATAAGTCCTCCGTAAGAACCTATCTCACTATACCCTTCTCGCACATTCGTTTCCATTTTTCTTTCTACAATTCTCCTTGGCTCTGTCCTTTTCTTTAGGAAAGCAATGAAAAATAAATAAAATCGCGCAAACTGAGACTCGGCTTTTTTTCCATTATTTTTACGAAATGATGCCCGTCCCGCTGCTTCGCCTTAAGATCTACAAAGAATTTCTTCAACGTGTCGTTGATCCAAAACGATTTTCAACTTCTCATATATATTTCCCTACGGAATCTAGAGAGAGCAAATTTATATGTATAGCGAAACGTAATCTAGCAGAGGAGGAAAAAGTGAAGCTCGGCAAGCGGCGCTATTTTCAAGAATATGACGACAGTCGCGGAACCCATCCTGCCGTTATCTTTCTCTACGTCACGAGGCACGTGGACCCTCGTGCGGCCATATAAACACATCAGGTGAACGCGCGACAGAAGTGCCAATCTTTCCTGTGATTTATGTATTTTATGTAAGCGCCAACTTTTCTCGAAAGGCGTCGGCACAATATCGGCGACATAATGGAAAAACAACGCCTGCGTTATTGTCTCGTGCGTTTTGCCTTTTCATGGCTGATGTTCATTGTCTCGCACCGGAACCCCGTGAATCGTTTCACATTAATTCAGATGTGTAATTACAGAAGCAAATGCTGAACGACGGGGCGAAGCCAGAAGGGCGGCGGCACAGCACGGATGGCCATGGAAAAAATGTCAAATGGACTTTATTGAGCCTGCGCAAGTGTAAGAACGCTGAAGAGCGAAAGGGTGCCGGAAGGCTGCCGGCGAAAAATAAAGAAATAACAATCAATGTGTTTTTCCACTCTCGTAGTGGCTACCACTGAATTGCTTTCTGTCATGGCTGCGAATGCCAATGCAATAGAGACTGTCGTCATTCTCGTCTCGTATCTCACGATTGGCCCATGAACCAAAAAGTGTTAAGAAAAAAAAAAAAAAAAAAAAAAAAAAAAAAAAAAAAAAAAAAAAAACCCGCGTAATGAAAGAAACGTACCGAGCGAAGACATTAGAGCCTTGTCGACGGGCAATCGCGCCGAATTAAAGGATTTTTCGGGAAAGCCTGGATATTAAGTTTCCTGTCATACCGAGGAGACGATTCGAAACCGACAGAAAGCTAATCGAAGATTATAAATCGAGATACTAGGAGCAAGACTCTGTAAGATACGAATTTAAGTATATTCAAAAGGACTCACCATTACTGCCAACGAGTGCTGCAATCCCAAGAAGCCACGTTGTCCAGTTGATGGTCAACATCTTCGATTTCCTCTTCCGCACCAATTATCACTTCACATAATACACAGCACCACTGCTGAAATAACTTTCTGAAACAAAAACATTTTTTTTCCTAAGAATCGCGTATCGATATCCATCGCCAAGTACATCGCGGCTTAAGCCTATTTCGGAAGCCAAAGGATGCGCCGTGGAGGAGCAAACGGCGTGAACTCGAAATTCTACCGAACTGCCTCATGCCCTATTGCCCTAGTGCCCTATTCGATTCGCTTGTCTTCGGCTCCGCTTTGTCGCATTCGTTCTACTAAATTGTCCAAAGGTGCGCTCTACAAATTTCAAACCGTGGACGGCATTGCGCCGTACCATAAGACCGTCCATAATGTGTAAGTAGTCGCGCGTCAAGACACCCACAAACACCTATGGTGATTTCCAAATGATACGGCGCGTGGCAAAAAGGCGTATCGTTCAGTGAGAGACCTCGGTGATGTGTGCGTGAATTGAAAAAAAAAATCCAAGCCTTCACCAGCCTCATCGATCCCACCCCAGTCCTCGGGAAAGATAACAATAGCACTTGCCAAAAGCAGTTTGAATGCTTATATAGTTTGGGAGAAAAAAAATAAAAGCTCGATGAGTTCAGAGTAAAAAACATTCCTCGTTTCTTCGAACTCGTGAGAAGTTCTTTACCTCAGTTTTCCTTGGCGGATGTAAAACGTCTCATGAGACGCGGCTCGACAAATTTGCCAAAGGATGGAAAGGTGAAATGATCTCAGGCAACTACTGCTCTTCGCGAGATAACCGCTATCCCGAGAAAATTCTAGAGACAGTTGGCAAAATGACGGTTCGGGATCGCTCGAGATCGTTCGGCTGGAGATTTGGTACACGGAAGGGCTGTGGTAGAGGCATGGCCCGATTTCTCGAGGCGTGACACGTCATTTATTCAAATCACACGTGCTGCTTCTTGTCAAAATGATCCCCGAGAAAGGAAGCTATCTTGCTATCTCGCTAGCCATAGTAACAGGCCCTCCCCTCCCCTTATTCGCTGCGGCAGACAAACCCTTCTGACGTAAAATCTCCCCCTCGGGCGCCAACCTCTTTTTCCCATCCCGTAGATCCTCCCCCGCTCGTACATACAGCACGCCGCCTTTTACTTGATTCCCAGCTGAAATTGAGCCCTCGTAAAATACCAAATTCCGCCCAGACGTATTTTCCTTTTTCCCCGTCCGCCTGCCTTACATATGTATTTCACGAAAGCATGTACGCACGGTCGCATGTACTTTCCACCGACGAACGATAGAATAACTCCGTAATCCACTTAGGAGCTATTCTCACGCGTTCCTTGAAGTGAAAAATACCCCGATAAACAATCGACAGCATTGGATTCTAAACGACGACCCAACTTTCGCGTTCCTCGTCATTTCTGTCTGTCAATTTTATTTCTTAGCTAGTTCTCGTTTAATCTTAAGTGCCTGATTGCGATCAGAGCTATTTAAAATCGGAAGGATACCTTGCGATACATCCAGCCCTGGTCTGCATCTGCAGTTCCAGGACTGACGTTTTCGAAGCACATGGCTACTGTAGATAACAACAACGCCCGACTGCAGTCTCCAACCATGTGCACGTATAGCGCCCACGTAATACGCTACAGTCGGAGACGCTACAATGTGCCTCGAGAAAATACGGCCTGAAATGCTGAATATATAAAATGAAACTCACTGCTACATCAGATGGTACCTGAAGGGAGGGATCTTCTTGAAACGTCATCCTGTCATTTTCGTATTGCGTAAGCAATTCTACCGGCATAATGTTCTTTATTCTTACACACCTCATGGAATCTCCCGGGATCCGTGATACCCTCACTTAAGGAATTTGCTTTGAATTCAACTATCCCTACTCTTTCCCTTCGTTCTTCCATAAGATCCTCGCGTAAGATGATCCGTCTCCCGAGTTTGATATCTTAAAACCATTTGGTACGAATTTCATACTCGTGTCAGACCGAAGAACGATACGCACTTGTTAAAGCGCCTAATGCTCCGTCATAACTGAGCATTCAGAATGGCATTGAAGAAAGCGAACAGTCAGTCTCAAAGTATCTACACCTTTGACAATATTTCATGTATCATAAGTTGACCTGAAGGGAATCCAACTAACAAGGAAGAGACCCTTTATGACGCCCCGCAACATGAGGCAATGAGGGGAAAAGAAAGAAAAATTATTTTTGAAACACAACGATAAGAGGGTGGGGGAACGGTGTATTTTTGAAAATATCAATAAACTGACGAGTCTTTGATTGACCACCCAAAAACAAGCTTACCGTCTATTTTAAGTTTTTTCCTATCTTTAGGAGGAAAAATTTAAAAAAAAAATCAAGAAACCACTAGTGCTTATCCGTGAGATGGGTTTCTCTTAAAGAGGGTAAGAAAACAAGGAAAGGAAACAAGAGAAAAATAATCACGCTATATCATGCGCCTACCTTTTTTCAGGCCGACATCGCCCCTAATGCAGCGGCAATAATCACCTCAGAAGCGTCTAACCTCACGCAATGCCACTATTCATCACTCTCGAGGCGGCCGAACGACATTTAATAAAATTTCCTTTTGAATCTTATTAAGCAACGCCTTGTGAAATTTGGCCAGTACGAGGCTGCTTTGCCGCGGCCATTGATTTCCTTTTCTGCACTGGCACCAACTTTACGTTTTCCTTATTACACTCTTCACAGTTCTTTTTCCACGCACATTTACGTTTCCCAGATTATCCACCAAACTATCCACGAGTATCCTTTCTTCAATCTCAGAGCACTTACGTGTATATCCAGTCTGGGGCTCCGATTGGCTGGACAGGTCGAGCAAATTAATATAACATTTGACACTTCTACCTTGTCACATTCAAGAGCGGTAGCGTCTAACAGTGTGTGACTCGATGGGAATTTGCGTCAAAATTTTAATGAAAGCAACTATCGAAAACTTCGACCATTACTGTCAACGCGATCGAGACTATTTCGTCGAATCACATTCATTTTGCTGTAACGCGTGCGGACCACTGTCAAAAGCTCTGTTGACATCACATGACGTTTCATTACTCTAAAATTGTATCATTCCAGCAACACTGTGGCACTCTTAATTACTGTTGATGGTTGTCAGTATCCCAGGAAAGATCGGCGCAAGGAGTAAGACACGAAAAAGACTTCCTTCATAACTCAAATAACCTGTGACTACACCGCGACACCTAGAAGAGCTTTATTCGTCCTCTATAGTTTTAGGATCATCCAGAGCACCGAAAGGGTTAGCACAGATGTTCCAAGGAAAAGCAATGGAAAAAAAAAGCCCCTATCACTTTCACCGCGGTACGAAATTTTCACTAATTACGAAAAAACCACTTTCTCATCTCGCGGATGCCAACCAAAATTTTTAACGCGTCTTCGGCAGAAATAAGGTGAATCGATCATCCAGGTGATACGATTACCTCAGGAGCGCGTCCTCGCGATACATTGCGCACAAAAATCCTCAGACTTTTTCTCCAAACATCCTCGTGATATTAAAGAGAAAAGACCTGGCTACGGGAAACATACGATTGTCTCCTGAGAGGAGAGTGTGTACCGCCGAGAAGGAGTACAGTGGAGCAACGTGTTCGAGAGCCAGCCCAGCCGGGTCGCGGGACGATAGCGAACTGACGTCGTGAGAGCTACACAGCGCCGCGGCGGTGGGCGTCGAGAGAACCACCAACAGCCCCAGCTCGTATTCACATGCTCCACTAGCTAGTTACGGTACGCTAAGGGACGTTCTTGTCGGATTTTTCTCACCGGGCGACCTCTTCACTTTTTTTTTCTCATTAATTTCATTCGACATGGGGTCAGTCCTATCGGATCGCACGTTCATTATGACCCCGTAACGTTAACGTTTACACTGGTATTCTCGTAATTTATCTTTTAAAAAGCTAAGGGCTAACGTAAAAGCTTTATCAATTTTCACGAACACGAAGCTTTCGATGACGAGCGAGGAGTTTTCGATGTTTGTATACACGTACTTCAACGCTGAGATATAATCGAACGTACGTAAGATTATCGCGAGTGACGTCGCGCGACACGTCGAGATCGAATCTACTTTAACAGGTATCCCGATTGACTTTCGTCTCAAAGACGAGCTCAGTCGGATCTTGGAACGACGGGCGACAGTATCTCGATAGCAACATCACGCCACGGCAAAATCTTCGAACATAAGAGCGCGGCCGCGCGCCACACTTAAGCGAGCGAAACACAGAGAGAGAGAGAGAGAGAGAGAGAGAGAGAGAGAGAGAGAGAGAGAGAGAGACATGCTCGGTTTACTGTCCTGCTCCTGGGAAACTTGAAAGCCAGGTGGAGCAGAGGGTAGGTCGTTTCACACAGCAGCGCCTCGCTTAATTACTAGATACTAGTAGCAGGAGTTAGGTTAGGTTAGCTCACAGTTCGCACCATCCAACAAAGGCTTATACCGTTACGCCAAGGCATTCTCCCTGTCTCGACAGATTCACGGTAGGATTTCTCTATGGCTAGCTACGAGGATCCTTTACGGAATTCGAGATTCTGGGAGTCCGCAATTGCTCCTATGCGATAGACCCTACATTAAGGTCCTTCGGTACTTAACCGTTGGATGATTGGTGTCTCCCAAATGGAGTCTGTACGTCGAATCATCGCATAGGCGATACCGCGCGCACCAAAGAGGTAATTCCCAATTCGAGAGAAGCTGTACGTCACGATTGTACCGCCATTCGGCATCAGAGAAGTGCAAACAATTGCAATGTGCACTGCAAAACAAAATTTCTTATTTCGTATCCTTTCAACGGTAGTCACCTCCTCGCACGCTTACAAGTGTGCTCTTATTCTCTGACATATGTCGACGCAAAAGCCTGACCACACTTGAATTTTCAGCGTGCTTGTAGTTTTGAGACCAGTTCGCCGCTTGGCCTAATATCCGCAGTGCGTTTCAGTGCAGCCAACCTGTGTACGTATATTGGAGTTATACATGGAATACTCGTCGACTGTAATCACATAGACGTAGTGTTACATCGGCAGCTTTGCCTCGCGCATGCATGGATGTAGATCGAAGGGAATAGCGATACTACGTACACACCAGAGCGGTTAGAACTAGCTGGCATCCTGCAAGCACAGTTCTCTATACACAGCCTAGATTGGGCTGGAGGTTTGCGCGATGTCAGCTCAGCTTCTGGAACAAGGAAAGCTCGACGTCGCCACTGCCAATAGGATCCCGCGCGAATGTCGCAACCTTGCCGAACGTATTTTGCCCGCCGAGTCATCAAGTTTTACCACAAATCCAGATTACCTAATGGGTTACCGTCCAACAACTCGAATAACGCTCTTTGTTCCTATTTAGGACTTCGTCGCCGTAAAATTGCGAAAGCACTCGTTTTAATTGCGCCGTCGAACCGAGACTCGAGGAACTTCGAAATACCTCATCCCGGGATATCACGTTAAATTCGATCTATTCTCTTTGCTTGTGCTCTTGACTGGACCTCCAGTCTTCGCTGTAACGAATCTTATTATTTTCCTCGACTTCGTTTCGCGCGCATCCACTCTCTTTTACTTAAAGAATACAACGTCATTTCTTCGTCAGCGAAGGCGAAGTGGAGAAGAGAGGAAGAGAAGACTGGACATTTGAACTACTGAATACTTTTAATTCCAAGACTAACTCGAACCGCGGCTGAGCGTTAAATTCTAATGGGCCTGCTAGATTGAAATACAAAATACAAAGCACAATATTCAGCACAGATTATAGCCAACTGCGCAGAAACAGAAGGTTCTTTTAAAGGTTCCCTGCTAATCTACGATTCTGCTATGGAAAGGCGCTTCGTGCCAACCAGTCCAGATTTCCTGTCTCCGTGTCTAGCGCCAGCATTGCTTTCCGACCAACGACCTTTGACTTTCTCAACGCAAGGCAGAAACGTTAAAATGACCTCACGTCGATTCGACACTTTTGTTTATTTGAATTTATCTCTTCGTGTATTACGGGAATTCCAGTCCTCATAGCCACTTGAGCTCTTACTTGCGATTAAATACGACGAAGAAGGAACCGCCTATTGTGCCACACTAGTGAAAATGAAATCCTTGTCGATTCGTTGTCTCAAGAACGTTCAAAGCATTCGGTCGTTGATTTTATTACCGGCAAGGATGGATATAATTGGTGGAGGGAAATATCAATACCAAACACGACGATTTTCAATCTTCTGGCTAATTCGCGAATTAGAGTCAAAATTACGGCGTCGTCATGACGGATGACGCCATAAATTCTGAATCCCTCGCTTGACGCATTGACGGCATATACGAGGGAAGTGTCAGTGGAGGCTCGTCAGCAGGAAACGGGAGTGATCAGCGTCAGCTACTGGCATGGCAATTTTCCGAATGCAGCCTGGCGAGGCGAGGGTGAGAGAGAGAGAGAGAGAGAGAGAGAGAGAGAGAGAGAGAAGGAGAAAGTGTGACCGAGGAAGGGAAGAACGAGAGAGAATGAGAAGCATCGAGAGGAGAGACTATACGGAGCATCCTCGTGTGAGAGACACAAGCACCGGTCTAATAAACACATCGTAAACGTGTATCCCACGTACTTCACGAAGCCTATGCAACACGAAACACGTCAAATTAACAAATACAGACGTCGACCCAGTTCGTTTATCCTCGAGTAGCAGTAACGTAACTAAAAGTGGACGTGCCCACGGGCAATTATAGTTATTATTATCGCGACGACATTAAGCCTCCCTGCAACGTTCGACTGTCGATCAGTATCAGTGGTGTCTCTCTTTATTCTCTCTCTCTCTCTCTCTCTCTCTCTCTCTGCATTCCCTTTGGCTGCCTTCGCATTTTCCACCATTTCTCCCCGAGTTCATTTCCATCGCCTCGTTCTATCGCACTCAAGCTTTCGAATAGCAATTTTGCAGTCGAGCCACCCTTATCGGGAAGCTTTATTAAAGGGCTTGTGCGAAGCTCTAGCTGGTAGCTGGCCGAGATACGTTATGGAAGTTTAAATAACTCTGGGCATTGCCATCGGCAAAGATAAGGAGTCTCCTCGCCGATAGCGAAAACTTTACTCTGCGGCCCCTCGAGTTTGCGTGCTTGCAAGCACTATTGTTTCGTTTATTGCGCCGATTGCTTGGAAATTTTGGGAACCGCCCATGCCAAATGAGAGGAAGAAGAACTCGCGAGTGCCTTGTGCTCCGAGAGCACAAAGGTCGCGCGGGACCGAAGCGAGAGACGTCGAGATGCAATTTCGTTGGTGCATTTAACAAGGTTCCTCGAAGCCGTTGTGCTGCCGTAGCTTTCTTTGATTTAGAGGGGTAAACTCGAGAGCAGGAAAGCTTTCTCGCGTGACATAAATTTTCATGAGTCGAGCAGTCGAGCGAAGAATCGCCATCCCAAAGAACCTACCTCTAACCATCCTACGACCAGCAACCTCGACTCTCAATTTTTGGATGCACGAATAGCGATCGGGCATTCGAGCGTAATGCATACGTACGGACGTTTCAGGCGAGGAGTAACAGCAGGGAAAAACGTAAAGGAGGAAGTCAGAAGAACACAGCTGAGCGTTCGGAAAATTTTGAGGAATTTCCACGGGGAAATGTGTGGCAGCACTGGGTGAAATAATAGAGAGAGGACGGAACGGTAGAACGAAAAGGCAAACTCCCCGGCAGGTAGATCGCACGAACAGGCAAACTAGCCTTCTTTTTCCTACTCAATGTGGCTCATACAAGCGTCCAAAAATCTAGGAACTCGCACGCAATTCTCCACGACTCGATGCCCACAACCACTAGCCATCCCACGAGCGTCACCTTCCCCACGCGTACGGTGGAACTCAATGCGTTACGTGTGGATCGTTAAGCGTCTACAAAAATTTAAACAAAAAGTTTTGCTTCCGATAGCAAATAGACCAGTACTACAGCGCGCACTAAAACGAACAGCTGGAAATGATGTCAAAAGTTCATTCTGACTGAGCCGAGCTCGGAGTACAGTCGTTAAAGTTGTATGCATTATCGCACAGGGGATTGAAAGACGCCCCTTGATTTCAAACAGAACTCTGGAATTTACAAGACAAAGAATAAATCGAGTCCGGACTCTCTTTACCGTTTCTGTAAAATCAAAGCCCCGTCGAGAAGATGCCAAAGCAAATATCGGTATACGTAATTTGAAATTCCTAATTGCTCGAAAGCTCAGGAAAGTCTCAACAGCGAATACGGGACCGAATCTTTTAAGAGTAGGACGCTGAGTGCGTTGTGCATAAAAATTAAGCTTCTCGGACTAGAGAAAGAAAAATTGATAGACGGATTGAATGTTTGCATTACGTTCACGCAGACACGTTACCCGCGCGTCCCCTCCTAACGAACAAGGTATTAGGACCAAACATCGTTCCTGCTGTAATCGGCCGGATCTTCAAAGTGGTTTCCCAGCAAGAATTCCGCTTAGAATGTGGCTAGATAAGATCGAGTGACTCAAGACTGGATTAACGTAAGAAAAGTCTCACTGTTGAATATTTAACTAACGGAAGTAACAGCCTAGGGTAACACCAGTAACGTAGCTGTTCGTGTCGGTTAGCACTGCTTCTTGCTGTTAAATAGAATTGCCGCATGTCCCGTTGCTACAATACGTCGTAAGCTTCGCGTATGAGCGTGCAGCGCGCTGAGCGTAAAACTACCTAAGC